GAAAACTTTTTTTTTTATCAATTAACTACTGTCCTTGGTAATACAAGTAAACGCCGTATAGACAAGGAGTATAATAATAGACTGATACATGTATTCAGTCATAAATGTTAGATTTGTTTTTAGTAACAGGCTTACACGTTTATGACACAACAACAAGAGCAATGTCGTTTCGATTGAACAGTGTTTTATTTTAGATCTGTGTTATATTATCTTCCTCTGCAAGTAAATTCTTCAAAGAATTTGTATTGAGTAATTTTAACTTTACACTACATTATTTAACACAGGTGAAAATGTATTGTCGGTGAATGATTGTACATTAAATCATGCCCGTTTTGTAATATTTTGGAAGACGCTTATTAATATTTTATCTACTATTAATATGAACTGCTAATGATATATTAGTATATAATAGTATTCACACGGCACGTGTGCGCGCGCATACACACGCGCGCGCGCGCAAGCACTCTTTAAACAACTTATTAGGTGGCTTGCATAAGCTGATAAGTAGTTAGGTGTAACTTCAAATGTATATTATATCACGTATTTGTCTAAAAAAACACAAAACAAATGAAAAAAAAAACAAAAAAAAAGAAAAGAAAAAGTATTTGCGCTTCACGTCGCTGCCCTGAAATACTTCCATCAATTGCTACGTGTTACGTGAGTTGGTACTATATTATTCCAATACGAGTAGTTTCAGTGAAGAAGTAAGAAGTTTACAAATCTTCAAGAATTTATTGTAACTTAAACATATGCATTTTTTCCTTAGTTCAATCCTTCGAAACTCTGTTGACTTTGAGTACATACAAATACACTACATATATTTAACAAAATATTCTGTTTGTAACGTAGAGTTTTAGTGATGAGTTATTTCGAGATAAGTACTTGACCGAATTTAGAGTGACTACAGATATTCCGATAATACGTATAATTTATAAACTTTCATGCTAATGCTTGAAAAAAGCTGCCTCTGCAACTCATCGAAATTAGTTGATGTTAAGCTTCTATCCAGATATCTCAGGTTCAATGGAACCATTGAATTATTACAATAATTCTAGACGTAACGATTCTAATAATAATGAAAATAATAATGATTATTACGATAATAATGATAATAGTAATAATAATAATAATAATGGTGATGATAATGATGATGACGATGATAATGACGATGATAATGATGATGATGACGACGACGACGATGATGCTTATGCTGATGATAAATAACAAAAATACCAACAACATTAATAGTAATATTTCAACTATTAATAAGGGTAACAACAATAGCTGCGACGATAATTTATTTTAAGAATGTAATAGCACTGATAGTAGTATTCCAGGTAATAAAATGATAGTGACAGTAGTATTAATAATGGCAGTAAACATTATAATCGTAGTACTAACGAGGGTAGTTGTCGGAGTAGTAAGTTGGTAACGGTGTTTACAAATTTATATATAATGTATATCATAGTAATAGCAATCGTAACGGTTAATAGTGCCGTCGATAATGATAGTAATAGCAGTAATATTATTTAATGTGATAATAGTATTAACCATAGTATTACCGCTATTACTATGGTTACTGCCTTTGCGACTGCTGCGATCATCATTCTTTCAATTTTTATAATCGATAATAATACGTACACTTGGTATTTCTGTGGTTGCTATTTTATTCGTTACGATATTTTACGTTACTACTATCACTGAAATTGCTGCTAATTGTACCACTGAAACGACTACTATTATTACTGCTATTGCTATTGTTAATACACTGCTACCACTGCTCTTACTGTAACTACTACTGTTACTACTACTACTACTACTACTACTACTACTACTACTACTACTACTACTACTACTACTACTACTACTACTACTACTATTACTACTACTACTACTACTACTACTCCTACTACTACTACTACTCCTACTACTACTACTACTACTACTACTACTACTACTACTACTACTACTATTACTACTACTACTACTACTATTACTACCATTGTTATTATCACAGGTATTGATTATTAATATCGTTGCTATTGCTGTTTTGCGCTGCTTTAACTAATTTCTGCTACTACTGCTGTTGCTGCTGCCCCCCCGTCCTCCTCCTACACAGATTCTTATTTATACCATTATTATTACCATTAAATATTATTTACAATAGCAGTGTGTCATGACTGTTATTATTACTATTATTTTGAGTGCAATTATTGTTACTGCTGCCATTACTATTACTACTACTTGATACTAAAATAAAAGAAATGAAATTATTCTATAATAGATGGTGCTGCAAATTACTGCTACTGTTACTATTAGCGTTACCACTATTACCACTGCTTCCGTTATGGTTATTAATATTTACCATTACTTAACACTACCACTACTTACTATTGTCACTACTGATTTTTCTTACATCTGTGATAATAGTAGTAAGAGTAATAATAACAGTAGTCGTGGAATGATAATAGTAGTAGGTAACGTCAGTGGCAGTAGTCACAGTAGTTTCTAGAGGAAAATAGGATTAACCATGGTAGTAGTAATAAGGCTGCTAATGATAATATAAATCGTACGAGCGAACATGGCGACGGCGTTACTGATAACAATATTGAATAACCAATAATCCGTAAATACAATAATAAGAGTGATGATTATGATAACGATAATAACAGTAATACCCAGTATAATATAAACGGTTACAATAGTAATAATACTATATAAGTATTAATAGTAGTAAGAGTAGTAGTGATAATACTTGTGATGATTAAAGTTGTGGTAGCAGTAACAGTAGTTTTAGACTTTTTCGATGAAGCAGCAGCCATTTAAGGATACGTAACGATAGTATTAATAATGATGAATACCTAATAAGAGTAATGTTATTATGAATAATGAGCACAGGTCTGAGGGCGTTTAAACATAATAAATGTACTCCTGTTGTGTTCCGCAACGTGGAACTTAAATGTATATCGCAAAAGGGAAAACTAAATTTATACGTGCGCTGGTACTTCCAACGACAATGTTCTTTTTTCTTGTTCAAGATAAAACCTAAGAAACAATC